AATCTGCTAGTTTGAAAAAGGAAATCCAGGGATAAATTTTGTTCCATCTATAAATCTATAGCCAAGATTCTTAGGGTATTGAACTTTTGAGGAAGATGGGATATGAAAATAGTAACTTTTTTAAAAAGGGAAATACAGTATTAGAATAGGAAATATGTTTCAGAAAACAATCTAGAAAGTCATGAAATAGAAAAAGCAAATTGATGCTAAAAGTATTTTAATACACAATTTGTAAAATCCATATAAAGCACTCACATTTCACATATCCTCTTGCCTAAAAACACTTCAGTTTCATAGTTCAGAGATAATATTCATTTGCTAACACATACAGACCCCACTAAATGGTCAAATGTCTTTATCTAGGCATATGTATTTTCTTCAGCAACTAGCTTTAACATTAACTAGGTACATTTTCACCAAATATATCCAATATAAATAAAAACAAAGCCAACGCCTCTCCCATCCCAAATTAGATAATTTTTTTTCTTACAAAAGTCAATTAACATTTATATGGCTTTACAATGATAAGTGCTATGTTTAAACCAGCAGTCACAGGATATATTATTGTTTCCAATACCGAGAAGTTGAGAATTAATAAGCAATGGTAGTATTCCAGTTAACAGCAATGCAAATTCCAAAATTTAACCTTAAACGTTTGTTGAGGAAAAAACAAAAACAAAAACAAACATACCACACTAAAATAGGAAGCACTATGAATAAATATTTACACTAGGACCCACTCTCAAACTTTCCTGGAAACTGTCACTGCTTGTTTCTTGAAGTCGCTCAGTCTTGTTAACACTTTGTTCCATTTTCTCATAATACAAATAATTCTATATCCTCATGGGTAAAATAAAACAATATTTTTATTTATCTTCATTATTTGGCTTTTAATAAAAAATAAAAGTTGAGTAATTAATACAACAATAATTTGTAAAATACAAAAAACCTTTTTATTATAGTTTATTTAATAGAATATGTAACTATAAAAGTTAATACAGTTTTAAGTTTAAATTTGTAAAATGCAGTTTGCAGAAAACAGTTCAAGTTACTAATGACAAGAGAAACAACATTTAAAACTAATTTTATAACAGAGAAGACAATATTTTATTTCTAACTTTCATTAAAAAAATATACATTACAGTGACTTTTGAGCTAGGAAAAGTACGTTAACTTCATTTATGGGTTCCCTTCCACAAAAAAGAGTAGCCACAGAATCTTTAACACCCCTACACACAAACACCCAATTCATTTATCAGTCTTTCAATATACTAATATACACACAAAAGGAGAAAGTACGCTTTTTTCAGCATCACATAATTTGCTTAACAAATAAAATGGCAGAAACGTGTATTAACACTCCCACTCCATGACCTCCTATAGCAAAGATTTTTTTAAACAAAACTACCTTTTTAAATTTCCTTTTCCAATTTTACTAGCAGAATTTTATCTGTGAGCCTGCCCCTCCTTTTCCTTTAACATCCCTACCTGTGTCACAACAGGCCAGAGTTTTCATGCCCATGGATCCTTCCTTTAAAATGTAAGCAGCTAGAAGCCTCACTATGGGTAGACAGGTGTCCCAGTTCCTGCTGCTTTTGCTGGGGCTTACCTTTGTTTTTAAAAACAAGTACTTATAACAACTTTTCATAATAATAGGACACCAACCTACAATCTATGGAGGGTTTACTTAACTGTGTAAGTATAAACCTAAACTAAAAAGTTAAAGAAAAACCACAACACACCCCAAACCACTCTATGGTTCTAATAACAAGCTGTATGATGGATGTACCAACATCCATCCACCAGGAGGCAAACAGATTTTTACAGCAATGTGTTAGATAAAAAATTATAAATGTATCATCTGAACATAGGCTCTATTTTAAAAAAAAAGCTAGTTTTAGACATATATAACAATTGCCAAAAACGCTAGAAACCAAATGTGTGCCTGCCCATAATATAGATTTATTATTTACTTGGTTAGCGTCAAACCTTTCACTCTGCACAAGAGTAAGGTCATGTAGTTTTAAAGCAATCTAGTAAATTCTGTACTGCTCATTTCATAAACATTAATTTCTCTGCAGTGTTCAGTTTTATAGCAGATAACCATATCCAGAAAAATATTTCACACAAAGTAATCATAATTCCACATTCTCAAAATATCTCAGATATTACAAAGCAAACAAAACTAATTTAAAACTTCTTCAAAGGATATGAAGAGATAAACTATAAGCCCAGACATCAAAACCTGTAACATCAATTTTACCAGGAAAGAATAGCCAATTTTCAGAAAAATATGTACTCAAAGTAAAATAAATAGGGCTATCCCACATATAACAAAAGGGTAAGATCGTATCAGCTGTGCACTATTCAGATCCTGCAAGAGATCTTGACGGGCAGGAAATATTATTTTGGTTGTCTTCCCTCACCTGAACTCCTTGACCACATCTGGTCTACTGTTAGGAAAGTTTTAACAAGCTTAACAAAAAGGGGTTCAGAAAGTATAAATAATGCTTAGCATGGAACAGCCATTTTGATAGTAAAACCAGAAGATATTGTTTATAGAAGGTACTAAATTTCTTTTCACTCTAGTATTTTGCTACAAAATTGAGTAATTGTCATTACTGGTAGATAAAACTTTTGGGTGAAATGACTTCAAAGCTTATCCTCACTTAGCTCTTAAAAAATCCTTTTAGTTGCACCTTTAAGGAGCTCAGATAAACAAATAAACAAACAAACAAAACCAGCCAGAAAACTCACTGTGGTGAGGCTGAATTGACTCTCCAGGGGGTTTTCAGAGGCTGTAAATTACACGGGAGGAGACTGCCCACCTTCCTCCCGGAGCGGCAGCTGCTGTTCTGTGCCCTGAGTCAGCTCATGGCTGACCCTCCAGTGGGTTTTCCGAGGCAGAACACCACAAAGGAGGAGATGCCCATCTTCCTCCCACAGAGCAGATGGTGAAATCAAATCACGTGCCTTTTGGTTAACAGCATAACTCCTTTCCACTAGGCTACGAGAGCTTCCTGAAACCCAAATAATTTAAAGATTCTAAAAATGCAGTTTACTGAATTTAAGAGCAATGACAACTAGTTTAAAGGAAATAACAGAGTATATAGTTTGGACATTTACTATGGGGTTTTGGTAAAAAATCCTAACAAATAACTGGATTTTAATATACATCTAATACTTGTATCACCAGGAAATTTTTTCTTAAAAAATGTACTATGGGATTAATATATCAGTCTTATCTTCATTATCATACTCATTCTGTAAATAAGTATTGTAATGCCAAAGGTATCATTTCTATAATAATCAACCATGAGAAGTATTATGTTAAGCACTGCTTTATTCAGTATAAACAGCATTGAGTAGGTATTGAATTTACCAACAAGCTGCCTTGGTAATACAGATGACACTATAATGACAAACATTAAAGTAAGAAACACTCTAGACTACTACTAATTGGAATTCTGAAACTTCTTTTTAAAATGAGGCAGGTTTTATATTTGCTGGGTGATTAATCATTTATTCAGAAGAGGAATTACAGAATAAAAGGCCACATATCACAAAATAGCTAAATACATTACACAAATCTAAATGACTTTTGGGTTATCTTTAGCTATCAAATTTTAGAGCTTCCTACTCTATGTGGCAATGTTATACACATGCCAAGTTAAAACAACATTAACAATATTTTAAAGCCACCTGAACAGAAACCAGAATCATTAAACATGCTATGTAGCCTATCATAATACATACATAAAAAGATGCATAATCCTGCCATTTTAAACTCACAGCCAAGAAGTCAGTCAACTAAACAAGCAAACAAATTACACAACAGCAAAAAAAAAAAAAACCCATGAAGAGTTGACACTGACCTCTATTACAGGTTGATGGCCAAAAAATAATAATAATAATTCCTGGGAATTAAAAAAGTGGAGTATTTTTGTGAGAAAAGGTTTTCTTTTGATTTCAGAAAAGCTACTACCACTTATAATGTTCCCCAAAGCAACAATTTCAATTCTTCTATGCCGCAGCAGTAACACAGAATTGGGATTAAAAATCTGATTTTCCATGGTAAAAAAAGAACAAAAAAACTCAGGGCCAAAAAGTTGATTCAGACTTGCAGTGACCCTCTAAGGTCCCAAATAACTGGCCCACAGGGTTTCTAAGGCTGTGTATCTTCATGAAAGTAAACTGCTGCAACCTTTCTACTAAGGTGTCCCTGGTGGGTTAAAACCACCAAACCAGAGAAGTTAAAAATTGATTGCTTAACTACTGTGTCACCAAGGTTCCTTTCCAAGGTATAATGCTGTCAAATGCTATGTAACAGCAAGTAAAACTCAGTAAATCCATTAATTCAAAACAAAACCAAACTTACAGCTATTTTTAGAAACACTTATGTAACAATGAGCTTGAACTGGACAGCAAATGCATTAATACAAAACAAACTATGGTTTGAAAGAAACATGAAATACAATGTAAACGACTAGTTATCTAAAAAATAAAAGTGATGATTTATATACCACACTATTAGGATCCGGCTTTGTGTAATTGAACTGCTGCAAAGTACTATTAAAATGCAATCAGAAAATCTAGACAAAGTATCTTCTACCAATTGTTTCTAAATTTTCTTTAATGAGAAAAGCTTTTGTAACAATGTATTGCAACAATCAGTTATGTTTGTCTCTAAGCAAATCACAATGTTGTAGAGTGTATTTGCTACTTACTGCTTGATTGTTGCAACACAAAAATGCATACATGAAAGTCAAACACAGCACACAGTATTACACCAAAGTGTTTTTCTCATTTCAAGTTTATTAAAACTTTAGCAGTACAAATTATCCAGGTTGCAGATTATCAAAAGATCAACTAAATGAAGTACACATTTTTAAAAAAGAAAAAACAAACAGAAAACAATGAAGAAAACAACATAGAGGAGCTTCATCAGTCAGTCTCTAAAACTTAAAATTTGAGACAGCATGTAAGTTTATAGAACTTACTCATCCACTTTTGTCTTCATCTGTTCCAGGGCTTGATTCATGATCAAATTTTTTATTTTTGTCATGTATGTGGTCATTTTCTTGACCCTTTGATTTTTGGTTCACTTCTTTTTCCACTGAAGATCTGGTCTTCTCATTCTCCTTGGTTTTCAATGTGGAAGCCTTTAATTCATTGTCCTTACTGCTCTGTTTTGTTTTTGAGGATGGACTTTGATCTCTATCAGGCTTTTTTTCTCTACTATTAGTTGAGCCGTTATGATCACGGCTTTTAGAGTACATTCTTTTTTCACTCTCTGAATTTTCTCTTCTGTGTGAACTCTTACTTTCTTGGTTCCTGTATCTCTCTCTATTTCTGCTTTGACTTTCTTCTCTCTCTGAGCTTCGCGAATCCCTCCTCCGTCTCCTTCTGTCTTTACTTCTTGATCTTCCTGGTGTTGTCCTTCTTTCTCTGCTGCGTGACCTTCCTCTCCGCCTGTACTCCCGTTCTCTGTATCTGTGGTACTCCTTGCTTCGGCTGCGATCTCTGTCTTGACTTCTGGATCGAGCTCTTCTGCCCCTATCCCTACTTCTGCTTCGTTCTCTTGTCCTACTATTGTAACTGTGTTTGCTTTTGGTGATATCCCGCTCTCTACTCCTGGACTGTGCATGTCTTTCCTTTTCTTTACTTTTATTATGATCATGCTCATTACTTTTTGATTCGCCCTGTTTTGACTTTTCTTTACTTCTACTCCTTTCCTGATCTTTTCCTTTAGAATCAGACTTCTTCTCCTTTTCTTTAACAATCTCATGATCCCTTTCTTTGCTTCTTGATCTTCCTCTCTTTTCTTCGTGTCTATTGTGCTTTGAATCTCTTTCCTTACTCTTGGATTTCTCCTTGCTCCTACTTTTAGATTTCATTCTTTTCTTCACTTTGTTTTTATTATATTTATCATCCTTTTCTGAATTTCTTCTGATGTCTCTGTCTTTGCTACTAGACTTATGATCTTTAACTTTCTTTTCCTTTTCGCTTTTTCTGTTTGGACTCTCAGACGCATGTCTATGATCGGTTATTTTTCTCTCTTTGACTCTAACTGGGCTTCTTTGATTTTCTTTTATTTCATTTAACTCACTCCTAAAAATAATTTAAAAATAAAGAGAATAATTTAGAAAATCTTATAGCAATGAAAGGTGTACATTATTAGATAAAATGGTATTTTATCTGACAGCATTCAGACACTAGTAGTACTATGGCTATCAGTAACCTTTTGTACAATAGTATAGAAAATTGTTCCATGCATTTGAAATAACACAATTAAATCTTACTTATCCCCTTTGATCCATCTTTCACCACTTGACACTCTCATTCTTTGAGCTCTCTGCATCTCTTGCCTCCAATGTGGAGGAGTCTCACTGCGTCTGAACCGATCCCTTGATCTGGATCTGGAAGGAGTTCGGTAACGCTTAAAGAATAAAAGGGGGAAAATATTAAAATACAAAAGCAATGCAACACTAGCTAAAATGTTATCCTTAGTAAATGAGATTTCTAGGTTCAAATAGTATTTTTTACATGTATTTCTACTCTATAAAATCCTCAATTTTTATATAGCATATGAGTAAGTTGGAGAAAATTTAGTCATTTTTCAAGTTCCAAATACAAAGAATCTTCTAAAGAATAGTCTTTTGTGAGATCATTTCCTTCAACTATAGCTCTGAAAGAGTTGCAAGTGGTGTGGCAAGACCTCTTATCTGTTGCCAAGTTCCAAATTAGGTGTCTGTGGATTGAGTGTTTTTAAGATTTATCAAATACACAAATGTTCACATACTCAACAAATACTTATTTAGCCTTTAGGATGCAGATCAATCTACTACATTCTGAAGGAAACATTAGTGAACACAGCAGATTTTTCTCCATTGAAATGTGTTTCTAACAGGATGCACACAAAAATTACATACAGTAAATATACATGTAGCTATAATTAGAATATGTATAAGTGGAAAAGTAAGGGTGCTCAGAGAAAATTTAAGAAATATATATCTAATTGGTTGTTAGGTGTTGAATTTTGACTATTACTCATAACAACCCTATGAACCTTTCCATCCTCACTATATTTGATTTAGTATGGAAGAGTGTGAACACCTAAGTGTTAATACCTAAGTGATAATTACAAACTGAGAATAGAAGTTTGTAAGTTAGTGAAAGGCAAAGATAAATGGAAGAGAAAATGTATTTGAGGAATATCATGTTTGAAAAGCAAAGAACAGGAAGGAATGAACGAACATACTCTTTTAGAAATAATCAACTGACAGATAAGTAAGGCTAAAGCTATGCACTGTTCAGACGTGAAAATGGCTTTTCTACCTATGCCTTACACTTCCCTGGAGATGTGGTCTCTAGATGCCTCAACTGTGGACACGTGGTTTGCCACTCATCAGCACCCTCAATAGCTGTTAGAGAGCTAACCAGACTGTACTGAGACTCTGGCAAGGTGTAGCCTGACGGAGGCAGATGGAGTCAGGGCCAAAGCCCTTAAGACAGGAACCTCAACATCAGAAAAGCAGAGAAGGCATCCTTCAGAGCCTTCTCTTTCTGTTGACTGAGAAGTTGCTTGGATTAATTGAGGCACTGAATCTTGTTGCTAATAGAAAAACTGTATGAACTGAGATAGGGTCTGTATATCCTGCTGTTAACCTGGCTTGCAACTTCTATTTATTGAACTTGGACTTTCATTGTGGATATTCATTGCACTCCCACAATAACCTGATTGCCGAATAAACTCCACAACTGTGAATAAAATGAGATTCTATAAGGTTTGTGTGGTCATTTGCAACAAATTTCAGACCAAGTGATTAGAAGTCAGAGTGAGGGACCTTGTAGGGATTAGTTTTATGCTGTGGATGTTGAAGGAAATGATTTACTTTCGTGGAGCTAGCAGAGGTCAGACGCGGGCATTTCCATGTTATCTCTGCTCTACTGATAAACTAAAATCTGTAAGGGAAAGGCTTTATCAGATACTACTGGACTAAATTTTGGGAGATCTTTTATGCCATAGAGTACTGAGCATCCCATGGATTGCCACAAGAATAAACAGCCATGTTTGGGAGGAAGTGCAGCCACAGTGCTCCTTGGAGGCAAATATGTTAAAAGTGTCACCTCACACACTATGGGCCTGTTGCTAGGAAAGGCTATTCCCTGGAGAAGAACATCATGCTTAGAAAGGCAGAGGGGCGGCAAAGGACAGGAAGACCCTTAACCACTTCGACTGACACAGTAACTGCCACAATGGTCTCTAGTGTGCCAGGAAGTGTAAGGATGGCACAGTATAGGACAGGGTTCAGCTTTGTTGTACACAAGGTCACTATGGGTAGTACTCAAGTTGATAGCACCTAAGAACAACATATGCCATAGGGGAGCACTGATAGTGTAGTGTAGTTCATAGGAAGTTGCACTGCAATCATCTCTCTGGCAATCTGAATCCAGAGCACCTCTGAGAGAGATAGACTAGGCAATCTGTGTGATTTAAAGCCAAGAGAGGGTCCGCAATGAGACAGCAAAGGTGAGACAACAAATAAAGAGACTGCCTCAGTTTTCAGTTTATATACCATGCAAGAACTTTCTATGCAGTCTAAGATCAATACAAAGAAGTAACATAATCACATTTTTATTTTTAAGCAATCCTTCTGGTTACTAGTTAAAGAAAGGATCACATGAAGTATAATTCATGAGTTTTAAGACATGAGGGATCCTGAAAATGATTTTCAAACTGTTGTTGTTCTTGTGTGCCATCTAGTCAGAACTGATTCATAGCTGATCTCCCAGTGTGTTTTCAGAGGCAATAAACTGCACAAGAGAAGACTTCCCATCCTCACACAGAGCAGCTGGTAGATTTGAACCAGTTAGCTTGGAAATTGCAGCATAGCACTTTACCAGTAGGCCACCAGAGCTTCCCAAACTAGCATCCCATTATTTGTTTTTCTCACTTTCTCTCATTATTGTACAGTGGAATCTTCTAAACTACATGCATGCTTTGATGTCTGTTTTCACAGCTAATGGATTGTGCACTTGTCTATTCTATCCTTGTGTTTTAGGCATCTCTCAGATTTTCTTTTGAAAATCGTATTGAGAAAACTTAAAAATTTCCATGACACCAATATTAGAAAAAATCATACTAATGTCAGGTGATAAATGATGATGAATGGAATTAAGATGGAGAATGAATACTGACAGAAGAAAGAAATTTAGAATATTTAGGAGGTAGAATGGACAGGACTTGGGAGATGGCAAGACAAAATATGGTATGAAACCTTTTTTTAAAATAGTATGATGTACAAATCTCGGTATAATAAATGTTTTTCAAAATAAATGGTATGGAAAAAAAAGGACAGAATCAAAATGATCCTTGGGCTATGGGTTTAAGTAAGGGCAGACAGTAGTGCCCATCATGGAGACAAGAAATACAAAGGAGGGTCAGGTCTGAAGAGCAAAGGTTTATACTCAGCTTTGCATACGTTAAGTACGAAATGCCCCTTATGCAGTGAAATGCTTACCTAGTAAGACTTCAGTGCAGACAAAGAGTACAAGAAAATCTCACAAGTAAAACAGTTGAGGAATGAATTTTAAGAGAAGTAGTAAGTATAGTCAAATTTCTAAACACAAGATATTTAAATTCTGATGAAGAGAATTCAGTCCAGAGAATCAAATATTCCACATACTATAACAAGTGTATACAGTATCCAATATTTTCTATGAAAAGGGAAACATGTATTCAATAGCCACATCTTGTCTAAATTTTAGTTACTTATACAATAAAATAACACTTTAAAGGCCCACTCTAATATTATTTAAGGGAGACAGACAGCAGTATTTCTGAAGGGGAAAACAGCACCTACCCTTGGTCCTCTTCCTTTAATTTTCCTGCCAGACCGTGTAACTAAAAGTCGCCTCTGATACGAAGCAGGCTGGGAGTTGGGTGGGTTACTAAAAGGACACAAAAGGCAAATTAGAACATTATAACATTAAAAACGAATCTTATTACTGACCTGAATTATTTAACTTTACACCCTGTATATAGTGAATGGTTTTCAACCAGAAGCAGTTATCAATCTCAGTAAATGTCTGGGGAAAGTATTTTTAGCTGTCTAAGGGTTGTTACTGGTGCGTTGTCTCCCAAAAGTAAGATGTCCTAAAAGTCTTAAGTTGTGTAAAAATGAAGGCCCCCAAAGGCCAAGAGTTCTCTGTTGAGAATCATTACTAAAATTGATCCTTAAGATTAAGTTATTTAAGGGGAGCTCTGCTGGCCTAGTGGCAAGGAGCTGCAACTACAATCCCAGAGGCGCACAGTTTGAATCCACCAGATGCTCTGCCGGGGAAGGAGGGGCAGTCTCCTCCTGTACCAGTCAGATCTGATTTGACGGTACACTCACACAAAAATAATAACAACAAAAAAGATTAAGTTATTTAAAACAAATCAATACATAAACACTTATGGTGGGAAGTCTCAAATATTTCTAAGAGAATAATTATAGTATGATTTTGTTTCAGAGAACCTTATGATCCTATAAGCAGTTTTTCCATTAGTGATACAGACTATGAAGAAATGTTAACTAATGTAAAATAGAATATAAACTGGTTTGAAAAAGTTTATATCATGGTTTATGTAAAAAAAGTGAAACTTTATTTTCAAAGAACAGCTAATTTTTAATAGCAAATTAACTGAAACTATATAAGTCTTTGAAAAAATAATTTTAAAGGAGCTCACTCATTCCACTTTTACTATCATGTTCTTTAGGAATATCTTATCCTAAGACTAGCAGAAAAAGAAATCCAATTCAAAACCCTAAACAAATCTTATTTTAATAATTTTACTGTATTGTAAAACCATAGGAACATAATTTACAATCACCAGTATGCTACAACCAGAAGGCCTGGTGGCACAGACAGCCGTGAATAGAAATGCTGATGGTATAAATCTACCAGCAGATGTGGCAGAGTCTCCTTCTACAAAGATTACACCCTTGAAAATCCTAACTCTGCCCCATGGTTGCAAGCTAAGGCAATGAGCCTGCACTATATAGCCACATAATCTAAAGTAAATAAAAAGTTTCCCTTTGCTTTTTGCTGTTTTTGGCCAGCATTAGCAAAGTGACTCTTTAAAGAACCAATAGAATAATCAAAGCAAGCACCTGAATACGACAATAATTATCATAATCATAATACTGAAAATCAGGTAAGGAAAATGACATTTCTCCTATGAGACAAACTAAACAATTAAAGTGGGTACTTGCTGAAAGTTCCCACAAATGACAATTCACAAAATGATATAATACAACATGAACTCATTTTAAATGGAATTGGTTTGGAATTATTCCATGTTTTCCAAGAAGGAACTTTCCCTTGTAACACTCCATTAAAAGGAAAATAGTTCAATCTTGAGAAATGATCAATTAACTTCTATACAGAATATGTAAAAATCATAAAAAAAATAAAATTTATTATTAAAGACTATAGAGTATTCTAAAAAGTATCTACATTCACGTACCATTCTCTGTCTCGCTCTCGTTCTCTGGTTTTCCTTTCTTTTTCATCAACTTTAGGAGGACTTTTTCTCATTAGGAACCTATTTTCAGGTATAGGAGGAATCTCTTCTGGACGCACAGTAGATTGGGGTTGTGCTTCAATATTTTCCGCCTCGCTTTCACTAGATGCACTTAACAGACAGAAACACATGAAATAAGATATAGTTAACTAACAAGTACCTCTTATTTTTAATTGCTGTTATTTTTTTCCATAATAAGATACCAAAACATAAGCCCCTTTTTGTCCCTAAACAGATACTATCATATGGGGAAAATTTTTCTCTATTTCTCTTACAAAGTAACTAACTAAAAGGGGGGTAGGAGTTAATACTCTTAGCAATTTTTTCCCCTTTAAAATTTTAAAACTCTATGGCTAAAAAACTCTGATAAAACAAAAATATTTTAAACTGTGTAACTAAAGAAATTAGTTAGTTTTGGGGTAGCAGGCAGATAAAGGCAATTTTAAATTTTAGTACAGACACAGAAAATGAAAATAAAAATGGGAACAAAGTAAATACTCTGACATTAATGGTTTTGACTACCACTATCATATAAAAAAAGGAGAGAAAAGAAAAATGCAAAAAGGACTACCACAAGAAATATTAACTATTGGTTTCTTACAATTCTTATTAATAATCTCATAAAGTGTACAAATCTAGATGTATAGTCTACTTTGAATGCACAGACAAGGAGTGATGTAAATTAATGAATTAATATTTAAAACTATACACTGTGAAGTATTAAAATGGTCTATCAAGTATTTCTTACTATTTTAATGTTCCACATTAAGAGCCTAGTAGATTTATATAGAAACAAAAAGGGATTAGACTACAAAGCTAGCACTGTAGAAGTAAAAGACCAAGACCTTTTCTTGCTTTTCTTCCGCTTCTTCTTTTCTTTCTTGTGTTTTCGTGAATTTTTTCTATGTTTCTTTTTTCTTTTTTTTGATTTTTCTTCAGAAGCACTTTCAGAATCAGAAGAATCAGAAGAGGACTGAGAATCACTTGAGCTATCTGAATCACTGGAAGATGAGGATGAAGATGAGGAAGATGATGACTTATGCCTTTTCTTTTCTTCTTTCTTAGCTTAAATCGGGGGGGAAAAATTTTTTGGTCAGCATTTTTTAGTTAAGCTTCTTAAGTGGAACTTTAAAGTTTCTGCAGATTGCCATTAATTAAACATGTCAGAATTTAAATTTTAGCTCACCCAGCTCTCTGAACTGCAGAGTACATGGAAAAAATGGTCTATAATAGGATCAATATTCAGGATTAGAATCCAGGTGTCCAAATATATAGATTACAGGGGATTATTAAACCAAGAAAATCTGAAAAGTAGTAACTGACTCTAAAATGCTAAAATATATCTAAGAAACATTAGAATAGCACAATTTTAAAAAGAGACATAAGTAATATTTAAGAATTGCAAATTCTAAATTCTATAGTTTTTTTACTATTTCTCTTATTATTACGACTAGAGGTAGAATTGGGCAGGGAAAATAAAAGGAAAGGTACTCTGCATGAACATGAAAAGATTATTCTATTGGTAAGAGTATGTTTTTATTCCTCTAACGATTAAAAATTTAGCTTTAATTGAAGAGCCAACTTATGACAGAAGTCACTTGCCAACAGTAAATAGCTATTTTAAGGATCTCCACAAAAATTATTTCAATGACATTTCCTTTGAGTTAGGAAAGTAGTAATTTTAAAAGGGGATCGAAAGTTGAATACTTTAATGACTAAGAAATTACAGAAAATAAAAAAAAAATCTAACCAGGTTTAATAAAACAGGAATTAAGAGTGCTGTACGATAAAATGATTTATGTAAAGATAGTCAAATACAAACAGAGAATAACTCAGGCCAAAGGTAGGACAAGAGTCTATCACTGATAAATGATAATTACTACTGGAAACATTACGTACATTTAAAGAATCAGTTATACTGGTATTGATAAATGAATTATAAAGTATTAATTCTGCCTTTACTATACAATGTGTGCTACTTGCTAACCAAAATTAGTAAAGGAAAAGAAAGATGTTCATTATAAAGAAGTATTTCAGGAATATACAGAATTATCATTAGAACATCATCATTTTCCACTTTTAATGAGGCACTGACCCCAATGACTGCTACAGAACACAGGAACAACCTGTCCTTTGTAACTCATGCTCCTATCAAGAGAAATTTTGAAATAAATAAATAAATAAAATTATATTCATTTTCTGTATTTAACTATAAATATTAGAGGCAGAAACAGAGAAAACAGTATATAAGAATACAATTAGTAAAGACAAATTAGTACAATTAAAGAGCAACAATTCAAAAAAATTACCTAGACTTACTCAACAAATTTCAAGGAAACATAGAAAACAGTGGATCAACTGAACCCCCCGCCCCCCAAATCTCAGGACTTCATACAGGTTCTCCTGATTCAGTCATGACTGATAAAGCAAACAGGAATAGATACACATCTGTAAAATGCAGGTACACTGAAACATTAATTACACAGGAAAAAGAATGGGCCAACAAAACTGAAGATAATAGTGCCTTGTTGAAAGACCACAGCCAGTGGTCATTGTGAATGTCATTCTTCATGACCCTGGTATTAATTACATCTTCTGTCTCAAAGCTTAAAAATGGTCACTATGCCTCCACCAACATTCCCATTCCAAGGGCTCTGACTCACAACTTTTTTCATTTTATTATTTTTGTGTGAGTGTACCGTCAAATCAGATCTGACTGGTACAGGAGGAGATTGTCCCTCCTTCCCCGGAAGAACATCTGGTGGATTCGAACCGTGCGCCTCTGGGATTGTAGTTGCAGCTCCTCACCACTAGGCCACCAGAGCTCCCCTAACTTTTTTCATTTTAGCACACCCACAATTTCACAAATTCAGATTTACTCTAATTTCATGCTGTAGGCCATGACCAAATTTGTTGGGATTGGCTTGAAATTACTGGCACAATCTTCCCATTTATGAATATATCTGTATATGTAAATACATGGTTATAGTGTTATTTTTAAAAGGAATCATCTTTAAGAAATAAGGAAATGCTTTTGGATAAAACATTATACCTAGAACCACATGATCCTATCAATTGATGCAGAAAAGGCCTTTGACAAAGTACAACACCCTTTCATGACCAAAACACGCAACAAAATAGGATTAGAGGGGAAGTTCTTCAACATAGTAAAAAGTATTTATACAAACCTGAGAGCCAACATCATTCTCAATGGAGAGAGGTTAAAGGCATTCCCTTTAAGAACAGGAACTGAGCAAGGATGCCCACTCTCACTTCTCTTATTCAATATTGTATTGGAAGTCTTAGCAATAGCAATAAGACAAGAGAAGGAAATAAGAGGTATCCAAATTGACAAAGAGGAGGTAAAATTATCTCTCTATGCAGATGATATGATAGTATACCTAGAAAACCCTAAAGACTCAGCAAGAAAACTATTGAACATAGTTGACCAACTCAACAAAATAGCAGGATACGAGAGAATACAGAGCCTGAACTAAGAAAAACAATACCCTTCACAATAGCGAATTACAAGATTAAATACTTGGGAGAAAATCTCACCAGAAGCACAAAGGATCTATTCAAAGAAAATTACAAAACATTACTACAAGAAACAAAAAGACCTGGAGAAGTGGAAGAATATCCCTTGCTCATGCATAGGAAGACTCAATATTGTGAAAATGGCAATACTACCAAAGGCAATTTATATGTTCAACACAATCCGAATAAAAATACCAATCCCATTCTTCAAGGAGATGGAAAAGGTAATCTCCAGTTTCATTTGGAATGGAAAGAGGCCCCGAATAAGCAAAGCACTCCTTAAAAATAGAAAAAAGGTAGGAAACATCTCACTCCCTGATTTCAAATTCTACTACACTGCCGTGGTGGTTAAGACAGCATGGTACTGGTACAATGACAGACACACAGATCAATGGAATAGAATTGAGAACCCGGATATCAGCCCATCTACATATGGCGCCGATTTTTGACAAGGAGATGAAATCAGTTAAGTGGGGAAACGACAGCATTTTTAACAAATGGTGCTGGCAAAATTGGAAAAATATCTGCAGAAAACTCAAGCAAGATCGACACCTCACTCCATATACAAAAACCAACTCAAGGTGGATCATGGATCTAGGACCAAAACCAAGGACTATAAGCTTCATTAAAGAAAAACTTGGAAGAACTCTAGAAGTCCTAATACACAACATAAACAGTCTTCCAAGTATCCTGAAATATCTACAACCAGGAGAAGATAAAATAGATGAATGGGACCTTCTAAGAATCGAATCCCTATGCACATCCAAAAACTCCTCCAGCAGGGTAAAAAGGGAAACTTCAGACTGGGAAAAAGTATTTGGTAATGACATGTCAGATAAGGGAATTATATCTAGAATTTATAAAATACTTGAGCACCACAACAAGATAAAGGTAAATAATCCATTTGAAAAATGGGCACAGAATATGAACAGACACTTCACCAAAGAAGACATTCAGATGGCCAACAAGCACATGAAATGTTCAAAATCCCTAGCTCTAAAAGAGATGCAAATCAGAACTACTATATCATTTCATCCCAGTCAGAATAGCAAAATTTAACAGAATAGCAAGCAACAAATGCTGGCGAGGTTGTAGAGAAACTGGAAGCCTATTCACTGTTGGCGGGAGTGTAAAATGATGCAACCACTGTGGAAGGAGGTATGGTGCTTTCTCAAAAAGTTGCAAATAGAGATACCATTTGACCCAGCAATTCCACTACTGGGAATATACCCCAAAGAGACTATAACTGACATCCAAGTAGATATATGCACACCCATGTTTACTGCAGCTTTGTTCACAATAACAAGGAGTTGGAAACAACCCAGGTGCCCATCAACAAATGAATGGATAGAGAAGCTGTGGTATGTTCACACAATGGAATACTACGCTGCATTGAAAACCAAGAAACTCATGCAATATTATGCAAAATGGGTGACCTTTGAAGACATTATGCTAAGTGAAATATCTCAGTCACAAAAGGACAAATACTGCATGGTGCCACTGTTGTAAAATGGGACTGATACCAGAGTTGGGATAAGACTGAGAAAAACTGGATAAATTATGTATACTGACTGCATTGGAACAAATGAGGGAGAGAATAATTTAAAAGCGATATATGATAGAGTATTATGGTTATCACAAGAGTCCAGAATTAAGGTTGCATAGTGGAGTGTACTTCGGGCAGTGGGAGGGGTGGGGGGGGACTGTATACTAAATAAGAATTTTTCTTTTACTTTTCAAAGAGAGGAGCAAAGGGGGGGCAGGGTAGGGAGAAAAGTGCAACAATGAATAAATGGAAACCCAAAATCTCTGTAAATGTTCGTTAAAATTATTAAAATTAAAAAACAAAACAAAATACCTGAGATTTGCTTCAAAATAGACTATGAATGGGGAATGTTAGGTGAAGTAAGAGTGGTCATGAGTTGCTGACACTTGGTAATGAACACACCGTTGTTTGGGGTCATTGGGTCAACTACCATTCATACTGACCTCATAAAAACAGACCTGAGGAAAAAAAAAACAAAACAGACCTGAGCCTGTGTGATCCTCACAATCTCCACCATGCTCAAGTGCATTGTTGCGGTGCGGTCACTGTGCCACTCCATCTCTATGGTTGTCTTCCCCTCCTCTTGCTGACTCTCCACTTTTCCAAGAATAATGTCTTTTTACAGAGACTGGTACTTCCTGACAACATGCTCAAGTACCTATGATAAAGTTTCACCATTCTTGCCTTTATGGAGTATCCTGATTGTACTTTCTCCAGGTAGACTTGTTTGTTCTTTTGGCAGTCTGGGGGATTTTCTGTATTCTTCTCCCACACCATAAGGTATTAATTCTTCTGTCATTCTTGGTCATTGTTCAACTTTCAGAAGTGTAAGAAGCAAGTGAAAATATCACAACAGGAACACCTCTGTTTTTAAACTGACATCACTACCCTTAAGCATTTTGGAGAGGTCCCGGATAGCAGATTTTTCCTAATGCAATACATACTTTGATTTCTTGGCTGAGTCACTTGTAAGTGTTGATTA